ACCCTGAAATCACAACAAGAATCGAGGGGTAAGTACACGAATGTACCTAGTGAGTGAGCCACCCTAAAAAAAGGATCAAAAGAGGGTGGGGTGCACTCACAACCAAAACAGATTAGAAAACCAACTTATAAAATCATGGTTAGCAATAAAACAAGTACATAAAATCATTTATCATTTTCATAAAACAAATGGACTGCCAATAAAACCTATCTAGAGTGATTTGAGCCCGAGTCAACCTCCGGAACCGTCAGGGGCATTTCCGTCAACATCAATTAATTTGTAAAAACATCATTTTTCTTATTTTCCAAACAAGCCCGTTCCCCTGACGTTAGCTTGGGTTCGGTATTGCGTGGTGGTTTCAGCATACCCAATTTAGGTCTCCAATGCACACGCTGAACCGGTAAATGAATAAATATAATGTGTCGGGCCTGGAGCTACGAACCATGTGGATTCGAAATGAAAGTCATGGTCCGTTAAAACAAACACACCAGCGCTGGGTCGCTTCCGAGACGCTCCACCAACAAGCCATACATACTCCAGGGGCTATGTCCCATAAGTCACCGTATACTTGAACAAGTTCTTTAAAACAAAACCGGTTATTTATGCACCCAAAACATTTATCAAAACATTTTAGAAAGCATTTATTTAAAAAACAGTAATAAAACATTTGCTCAACGGGTTCTCCGTTGAGAATAGCCCACTCACAGTTCAGGGGATTCGTATCCCCCCAAAGTGAATCCACAGTGAGCCTAACTGGTGTCTCGATCAGCGCCTCGGCCGTCCAAAATCCGAATTTTACAATTTCTTACTCCTTCAAGTGCCCATTTATACTTCTGAAATCCTTGCTTCCACCTTTGCTTAAAACCCACCATAAACACAATGAATTCCTAATCTAATTATGCCATGAGAAAGAGCTTGCAATGGGATTCCTCTCATAGACTTGCATGTTTAATTTGAGGGGAAATTGAGTGAAATATTTTTTAGAGAGAGAGTGAGAAGCTTCGGTTAGAGAGAGAGGAAGAATTAAAAAAATAAAACATTTCACGGAGAGAAGAAGAAAAGAGAAAAATGGGCTTCATTTTATATCAAATGGAAAAATTGTATTATTGTCCCTATAAATTCCATTTCCTTCAATTTGGCTCAAACCTTCTGGCTTAATTCAATTTGCTCCTCCACCACATCATTTTAATTATCTAATAAAATTCTAAGTTAAGTAAATTATTTATCTCAACCAAAGGTTAAAAGTGTTACAATCTTCTTAACTCTTCAATATTCTTAAACGATTGTCTAATACGTCCTTAATATCAACTTTACTTGATCCATAAACTCCATTTCGAGTTATCAAAATGTCAATCTTGTTCTTCTTAGAATCTCAACCAACTCAATCAATGCCACTTGCAAATGATAGGTACGAACTTAAATCCCAAGTATGTTCAAACTCTAACGATACACATAACCATGCACTATAAAGCTTATCCAAACCATTTTTGAAAAAGCTGTATACATAGATGTTCATTTAACATCTCTACATTTTTGCTATCTAATAACCATTACTTCCACTAACTTCTTTGAGTAAATTTTCCTTAAATTTGGCCAAAAATGATATTTTTGTTTACAATCATCCATTTAGTTCCTTGACCACCACAAGCAAACTACAAAACTCTCAACAATATGTTTATAAATACTTAAAGTGTCATCAATTCATGTCTTTTCATTTTCTCATTTTTAGCGGGTACCATTTGTTTGCATGACTATATATATGGATTGGAATGTTAGAAAATGCTATATGTTTTTTATTTGAGCTTAATGTACTTTTTGACCTTTGAATTTACTGCAAATGGCCAAATAGGCCCTTAAACTTCAATTTTGACCAATTACAACCCTAAACTCCAAAATTTGGCCAAATCACCCCTTATATGGATGACACTCTAATAGAACCATTAGGATATGCCACGTCAGCATGCCATGTGAATAAAAATGTCACATGGTGTGGCCCATGTGAACAGAAGCACGTGATAAAAATCCCATCCAAAATAAAAACAAACACTAATTAATTAATTATCATTTTAAAAAAAATCTTTTAATTTTTTTAATTTTTAAAATTTTTTGGCATGGCTTTTTTTTATCTCATGTTATATAATTACAAATTAATATGTTATTTATTATATATATACTATATATTATTTTTAACTACCATGAAAATTACTAAAAGGCCAAATTGAGGATTAGTGTGGTGCCACCTTTTGACTATTTTTGGTCTTTTCTCACATTTCGGATGACTAAAAAGTCCCTCTATGAGTTTCCCTCATTCCTTTTCCTTCTACCCTTTTTTGTAATTACACATTTCCCTTCCTTAATTTTTTTTATTTAATGTTTAAAACTTTTAATTAATTGCTTCTAAATCCTAAACCCTTAATTACTTTTAATTAATATTTCTCTCGCTATTTTCTTTTTTCCTCTCACGAACTCAGTTGCTACTTCCTTTCAACTTCTCGGTGCTGATCAATCTTCAGGTTTGCCAAAAATCAAACCTTTCCATCACTCCCCTCCGTTTTCACCTTTATATCTCTTTCCTCTTTCCTCTTTCTTCTCCGTCTCCATCCCTTCAACATGGACCGTTCAATATTTTTCCCCTTCTGAATTAAAACCACCCTTTGTTCAATGTGAGTATTATTATCCAATTAACAACATATTTTATTATCTCTTTGCACTTCCTATTTCTTACAAATAAAAACATATTCTTGACCATCTTAATTTTGCATGTATAAAAAGTTAGCTTACAAAGATTTATGCCAGAGACATAATTAAAACTAATCCATTTAAATTGCATTTTTACTGCAACCTTATATAATTCAATCAATTAATCAATTAAGCACCACTCTAGAACAAAAAATATTCTTGGCCCTTATATAATTGATTATATTAATATCCATATTCAATCAGTTAATTAAGCACCACTCTAAAATAAAGAACGTCGTAGCGTCAACACGGGCTAATATAACTTGTTTATATTATTTTAATTCCATATAAGGGGTGATTTGGCCATATTGGGAGTTGAGCGGTGCACTTGGTCAAAATTGAAGTTCAGAAACTTATTTGGTCATTCCAGTAAGTTCAGGGGCTAAAAAGTACCTTAAGCCTTTTGATTTGCTTTTGTTTCTTGATATTTGTAGTTTTATATTGTCTTTATTATGGCTACAAACAACATGCCAGAAGTCATTTTTTTGAATTAAATTTTTGAATTAAAACTACATTGAATCTTTATTTTACCATTTTCTCATCTTGAATCTTATTTCTTTCGAATATATGTCATTTAACAAAATTATTGTATAAAAGTGGAGTATTAATTTTGTGACATGTGTCCTCATCAACACCTTACAGTTTTATAGTACATTATAAATATAAATAAACCCAATTCCATTTACTTCATTTTCTCATTCCTTCACAAACTCTCTAATGCCTAGAATTAATTGCCCCCATTGTGGTAAATCCATTACTATAATGGGTAAGAGAAAACACATTAAAAAGAAGCATTCAAGAAATGCTGCAGGAAAACGTATTTTCCCATGCCTTCAATGTTCAGAAATATCCATTACCTCTTTAAAATTAGCCAGACATGTTAAATACAACCATCCTTCACACCCTCAACTTAACCCTCCAAACCCAAATTTCCCGCATATGTAAATAGGTTGCTTTGTAATCGTTGGAACATTCTATGTAGTGATTCTATCTCACTCTTACCTTCTTTAGTATTTTCTTCTTTCTATGACAATATTTTTAAACAATTTGATGGGGCACATAAAATATAATATTGATGGAGGCACTTTTGGAGGTTGGCCACGTGTGGAACGAAAAACAAGGGATGCTGTAGGTAAAGCGGATCCCAATTTTCCATTCGTCGGACAAGTTGCTGTTGCGATATACGTCCGTGAATTGTCGAGGCATTATGCACTCATTGTAGAGATTGGTGCATTTGAAAATATGCTTCGTGAACTTGGGGATCACTGCAGAGCTAAAAAAGTTGAGAAAGCAACTATTCATATGGGTATTGAATCTGACTGTGAGACCATTGTCTCCCTTCTTAATAGCCAAGATAAGAAATCAAAACCACCAAAACAAATTGAGAAGCGAGCGAGTGATGTCAAGGCTGCCCTGGAGACATTCCCAAATGTAAAGGTAGTTCACATATACAGGAAAGCGAATAGAATTGCTAATTATTTGGCAACAACTACAGATGAAATAGACGACATCATATTGAAGATGTGTGCTATGTTGGTCCAAGAACAGGGTGATTATCCTGTATACCGTTTGCCCCCAAGTGGCAATTTTATTTATGGGCATTATCCATAGTTTATCAATCATGGTTTATATATTGCTTTGTGTGTTTATCTAAGTCGATTAGTTTGAATCCGGAGTAGTGATGTTGTTTTAGCTCCGCCTTTATAGTAATGTTTTTGTAGTTAAGCTTAGAAGTTTTACATTTTCTAAGTTTCCTTAAGTGCTGTTGAGACTTTTTGTAATTGACTCTGGTTTGTTTTGTAGTTGATTTTTTGAGGTATTACAAAAAAATTTTTTTACATAATTAGATTCTTGCCTTAATAATATTGGAATTAAATTTAATTGAGATTTTATCAATAGCAATATTGAATTTAATAATTAATCAAGTAGTTAGTCGGCTTTGCACCTAACCAAAGGAAAACATAATTTTCCTGTATGTAAAGACTTTCTTCTAATATTCTTTAATATAGATTCCTTTATTTGGTCGAAAGAAAAAAAAATTCTCCTAAAATTAGGTTAACAAAAAAATTAAACAAATCTCGAAAATCATGTACATATGAAAATAAATCATATCAGTGTTGGCTATAAATTCATCCCAAGAGTAAAATTGACCGTTCATATCTCTATTATAACAATGGAAAATGTCTTTTATATAATTAGAAAAAAAATCCATATAATTAGTACAACGAAATTTTTTTTTGAGCAATATAATATTTGATATATTATAAATTGGGATTACACACGTGCAGAGGGACTCCACACCAAACAAAGTTTTCACCCACATCACACTCTAAATGTGCCAAATTATGGGCAAACTTATTAGCAGAACGTTTTACATGCCTAAAACTACAAGAGTCAAAACAGCTACCTAAATCTTTAATTTGCTGAATCAAAGACCCCCCTTCCCACAAGGATGGAGTCAATCGGTTTAATTCTAGAATGGCCTGCAAGGAGTCACTTTCGGCATCAACATGACCCAATCCAAAAGTCTTGGCTACCAGCAACCCGAAGAGGATAGCGTAAACTTCTGCAAATAGTGAATCTAGCACCCATGCAACTCTAGTAACCGCAGTATAAAGCACTTGTCCTGTTGAGTCTCGAATTACCACTCCCAAGCCTGCTTCCTTCCTTCGACAACAATATGCAGCATCCGAATTTAGCTTAAAGGTACCAGGAGATGGTGGCCTCCATGGTTGCTCGACATGGGAGCATTGTAATCTCTCAAGCCTTCGATTAGCCGCTTCAAAATCCGACACCAAATTAACTGCCAGAACACACACAACAGAAGGACATTTACACACTCCATCATAAAGGGCTTTGTTCCTATTATTCCAGATTAGCCATAAGAGCGAGGCAACTAATTCCAAAGACCCTAGTTGGCTGGCCTTTTCCAATAAAAGTAACCAAAAATCATCACGGCTTGACCACTCAGACAAATACCCCTGTATCCAAGGACATGACTGCCCCCAAACTCTATAACTAAAAGGGCAGTCAAAAAAGATATGATATACAGAAGATTCATCATTACCACAAACATCACACACACTGTCTATTTGGACTCCTCTAACTTGAAGTTGAGACTTAGAAGGCAGAATATTACTCACCAAACGCCAAAGAAAGAACTTAACCTTTGGTAACACTAACGCCCCCCAAAATGATACGCCATTGAGAAGATCTATTCTTAGGAGAAATGGTAGTCCTCCTAACAAGAATCGAGCAATAAAATACCCACTTCTAACCGAATATTGCCCATTATAAGCATTATTCCAAATTAAAGTATCTCTCAAAGGCCGCTGGTATAGAGGTATGCTCAAAATCCTATCAACATCTTCCTGAACAAAAAGCTCTTGTAGGAGATCAACATCCCATTGCCCCTCTAAATCACATAAAGCACTAACAGGATTCGATACACAAATAGTACCCGGCTTGGGAAGAGGCCGGTAGGACGGTGGTTTATTCACCCACTTATCAGTCCAAATATCAATATTCCTCCCATTTCAAACCCGCCAGCGACACCCCTCCCGAAGAACCTCCCGACCTGCTAACAAACTCCGCCACACAAAGGATGGATTGTGACCCAAAGTTGCATTCATAAAAGATCCTCCTCGAAAATACTTTGCTCTAAAAACTCTGAAACATAGCGAATCTTCATTATACAGTAATCGCCAACACTGTTTCGCTAATAAGGCTAAATTAAAAGCCTCAAAATCGCGAAACCCTAATCCACCATCCAACTTTGAAATGCAAAGATCATCCCATGACTTCCAATGGATCCTCCACTTTAGCTTTGTATCTCCCCACCAAAAACGAGCCATTACCATATTGAGCTCATGCAAAAAAGTTTTGGGAAATTTAAAACAGCTCATCAAATAGGTGGGAATCGCCTGAGCTACTGCCTGAATTAGCACTGCCTTGCCTGCTATTGATAACAATTTCCCCTGCCATCCTTGAACTCGTTTAATCAGCCTATCTCGGATAACTTCCAGCTCAATCCTTTTCGCCCTACCTATCAAAATAGGCATTCCCAGGTATTTGTCTCTATCTAAAATCCTTTGCACTCCCAAATAATTCATTATCATGCTGCGGAGATCTTCCAGGGTATTTTTGCTAAAAAGAATTGCAGACTTATCTGTATTGATTTGTTGGCCCGATGCTAACTCAAATTGTCTCAAAACATCTAAAATAGCATCACAGTCTGCTAAGGAAGCCCGCGAAAATAGCAAGTTGTCATCTGCAAAAAAAAGATGAGACACCCTAGGTGCAACTCGAGAAACAACTACTCCACGAATATGTCCCAATCTTTCTGCATCTTGTAGCAAACAGGAAAAGCCCTCCATGCATAACAGAAACAAATATGGTGAGAGAGGATCTCCCTGTCTTATCCCTCTAGTAGGAGCAATTTTATCTGTTTCCTCCCCATTAACAAGAACAGAATAAGATACCGTCTCAACACAATGCATGACTAGTGAAATCCACCGATCTGCAAAGCCCAGCTGCCTCATAATTCCTTCTAAAAATTTCCACTCTACACGATCATAAGCCTTGCTTAAATCTAATTTCAAAGCCATATGTTTTTCTATCCCCCTCCTCTTATTTTTCATGTAATGGACAGTTTCAAAGGCTATCATGGAGCTATCAAAAATCATCCTGCCAGGGACAAAAGCACTCTGGTATGGACCTATAATATTTGGCAAAATTTCCTTTAACCGATTCGTAAGTGTCTTTGAAACAATCTTAAACACTACGTTATACAAACTTATAGGCCTATAGTCCTTAACTTGACAGGGATTATCAATTTTCGGTATAAGCACTATATTTGTGTGATTGATCTCTAGAAGCGCAACACCATGATTAAGAAATAATAGCGCCATCTCACTTACCTTTTCACCCACTATATGCCAATATTTTTGATAAAATAGAGGAGACATCCCATCTGGACCTGAAGCTTTATTCGGAGCCATACCAAAAGCAGCAACACGAACCTCCTCAGAAGTAAACTCCCTCATCAGCAAATCATTCATCTCAACTGTGACCCGACTATTAACGAGTGCAAGGACCTGGTGTATGTCAGAAACACTTGGCGAGTTTGAGGTGAACAACTCACGATAATACTTAAAAATCGTCCTCTTCACTATAGTGCTATCCTGCTGCAAAGTTCCATTACTGTCCTGTATTGAAGTAATCTAATTTCTTCTATTACGGTGCGAAGCAACAGAATGGAAAAATTTTGAATTCTAATCTCCTTCCCTTAGCTAGTTCACCTTTGCCCTCTGACACCACATGGATTCCTCACGATCATACAACTCATTTAGTTCGTCGAGTGCAGCATAAAATGGGCTCGAATCACTACTACTTTGATACTCAGAATATAAGGCTTCAAGCTCCTTTCTTTTCTTGATAATATTGGTATGTACGCAACCAAAGACTTCACGATCCCAACACTGCAAGTCCTGACCACAACATGGTATCCGGTGTTTAAGATCTAGCCCTTCCCCTCTGTTCCAACTACTAGAAATCACATCTTCAATGCCTGCATGCAACACCCACGTATTTTCGAATCTAAAATGCCTCCGACCTCTATTGGATACACCAACCGGATTATTTAAAACATGAATCAAGAGTGGAAGATGGTATGAAGCAGAATTTGTTAAGTTATGTACAAAGGAGAAGCTAAATCGATCTAGCCATTCTTTAGTGGCAAAGCACCGATCCAATCTTTCAAAAAATGTCTCACTTCCACATCTTCTAAACCATGTCATGGCTGGACCTATTAATGGACATTACAAAACTCCACAGCATCCCGGAACCCCTGCATCTGCCTTTGTGATCGTAATTGACCCCCAATTTTCTCATCAGTTGACAAAATCTCATTAAAATCCCCTGAGCAAATCCAAGGGAGTTGAAACTTAGTAGATAATAATTTAAGAAGTGCCCAAGACTCATGTCTCCTAGTCACCACCGGAGACCCATAAAAACCAGTATAACGCCACCTTTCATCAGAATTAGCATCAATCATGGCATCAATATGAGATAAGGAGAAAGAAAGAATAGACACAAAAGAAGAATTCTGCCAGAGCAAAGGCAAACCGCCTGCTCTTCCAACACTCTCAACTGTAAAATACGAATCATAACCCAAACAAACACGGAGCCATTCCATTTCATATTTATTACATTTTGTTTCTAAAAGAAATAAAACAGGAAAATTATTACAATGGACTAACTCCCTAAGAACATGAACTGTTCGGCGCCCTCCGAGGCCCCGACAGTTCCAATTTAGAATCGTCAGGGTTCCCGGCAGGGATGGGGTGTCCTCCATTCCGGCCGAGTTAAAGTTTTGCCCAACATTCTGCCCATCAGAAGCATCGCTGTTGTTCGCCTTGGACAGGTTCGGCTCAAGATCTCGATAAATAGCTTCGCCAAATTCATCCTCCTCATGGTTTGCACTCCCCTTGTCTTGCTCCTTAGCCCGCTTCTGATTCCCAATATTGAAAAAATCATAATTTGGTACTCCTTTGGTACGCTTCTGCCCAATTTTGTGGTTTGAACAAGGTCCCAAAACATCAAAACTATAACTATATGTGCTGCGTGCCGTCTTCTTCCACTTTCGATGCCTTCTTCCTTGAGGCGGCGATGTCGCTCCAAAAACAAAGGTTGGGGAAATTGAGTCATCTTGCAGCGGAATAAAATCATCACCCGTCTGAGCGAATTCCCGTTGCTGTGAAGGAAAGAATTCGGGTTGATTGTTGTCTTGAATACCCGGCTCTGGGATTGGATTCGAAGGCCCAATACTCGGGATTTGGCGGCCCAATTCCATATTTCAAGGACCTATTTGTGCAGGCCCAAATAAACCTTCCCCTGTAACCAACGTGTCTCTCATTCCCGTATTCAAGGTAGGATTAGGAACCACCTCCTTCTGCTTAGCCCGAGGATTTCGCAGAGTAGCAAGTGAGGCAGCCATTAGTTTCGGTCCTCGCTCCTGATGTGCCCCTGAATTTGTGGGAAACTGCCTCGTATGGGAGTTGACTTCCACGTTCTCCATACCTTCCTGATTTTGTGCACCGGTAGGCCTTCCTTCGACCTCACGATCCCACCTTCCACGCGGTCAACCCCACGCGCCACCGCTGCCCTTTGCCGGAGTATCTGACTATCCACATGGCTTCGAAAACCTCTTGGTTGGATAGTACCAGATTTTGTAACTCCCATCCTTTGACGAGTTCCAAGCCTAAAACCCACCCCCTGGTTGGGAAGTCCCTGTCGAGACCTAGCTAGGAAACCCGATTGACGTGGCTTGACATCCGGCAACTCAGCTCGGATACTATCATCATATTGCTTCTCGATGTATCCTTGTGTTCGCAGGATCGTTACTCCCACCAGACAGTCATTATCCAAGTGAGTCAGGATACCACAGACCCTGCAAAATGCGGGTAATTTTTCATATTTAAAACGAACAGTAAGCTCACCCTGAGAAGTGGATACTGTAGTATTCTTCCTCAATGCATCTACAAGAGTAAGCACCACTCTGATCCGAAGGAACCTCCCACAAGTGTCATCCACTTCCAAGACCGGTCCCATGAGTTCTCCAATCGAAACACCAATGCGTGTGTTCATCATCAAAATCGGCATATCAAAAATCCGGACCCAATACTGACATTGATCAAAAACAACCTCTGTTGGGATTTGCAAACCATCAAAGTCTTTGAGTACTAGAAGCGCTCGGTTAAAGCACCAAGGTTGGCTAACCAAAATCTGATCCCGTTAGCCTTCATCTTCAAAAAGAAAAATAAAGAGGTTGTCATCAGTCTCCTTGACCATAAAGGCCCCTTCTAGACGCCAGGCAAGCATCATCGGCGTCTTCAGACCCTCTGCATTAGCCTTGCGTTTGGAGAATAGTCTACCAATTAAGTGGAACCAACTCAGGTCTCCATCACTATCCCCCAACCAGTCATGATCATTCACCACAACTGCATTTCCAGCATCACCTTGAAGTGAGAGGCGAGACATATTCGATAAAGCCCCTTCCATGAAACAGAGAACAATATGTATTGAAATAGAAAAAGGAGCGGTATTAGGAAGCTAAAAGGGAATATAGTCCACCACATTCCCTTCTGCAATATTTGTAGTGAGCAAAGCAGAGGTCCGTTAATAGGAGATCGTAGAATCAAGATTCGAATTTCAAAAAACAGTTGAGGCTTATCTTTTCGAAGAGACAAATTTGTAATCAAAACAATAAGATCCTTCAAATAAGGTATAGACTCCCAAAGATTCAAGGAGGAAATCCTGTACTGTGACAGGGGAAAATCTCTACTAGGAAAAATCCAGAGAGAAGAAGGCCGAAGCAGGGAGGAGAGCAAAGCAGACATCATTTCTTAAGATATTCAAGTTTTACAATAGGATTTAGTGCCCATCTTAGAAGGGCATCAGCATAAGTGTTTCCCTCTCAAAAAACATGCTTGATCTTGATCTCTTGAAATTCATCACCATGTAAAGAGCGAAACGAATTAATATATGTTTTGTACAACGAAATTAAGATATATGTTTTGTAGAATTGATATCTAATTAGCAATAGAATATTTAGAGGAATATCAATGTTGCAAATAAACTGTAAACATATTCTTAAAAATATTTTATTGGATGAATCCATATGAATTTTTATAGCTTAAATCATGTAATAAAAATTTTAAAGGAATAAATTATAGATATAATCACATATATATATATATACTATACTACTATATAATATTTGAATACCCTCTGGAAATTACTAAAGGATCCCAATCAACTTTTAATGTGGGCGAACTTTTTCGCCCCATTTTAGTCTTTTCACAATCTAGAAATTACCAATAGCTCCCATCAACTTTTAACGTGGGGTAACATTTTCGTCCCGTTTCGGTATTTTTTCACTCTGAAATTTACTGATAGCTCCCATCAACTTTTAATGTGGGAGAACTTTTTTGCCCCATTTTGGTCTTTTCTCAATTTAGTTAATTACTTAAGATTCCTTTAGATCTTAATATTATTGGGTTAATGCATTTGGTGTTTAAAATTAATTAGACAAGTTACATTAGCCCGCACTGGCGCTACAGGCGTTCTTTACTTTAGAGTGGTGCTTGATTAACTGATTGAATAAAGATATTAATATAATCAATTATATCAGGACCAAGAACATTTTTTGTTCTAGAGTGGTGCTTGATTGATTAATTGATTGAATTATATAAGGTTGCAGTAAAAATGCAATTGAAATGGATTAGTTTTAATTATGTCTCTGGCATAAATCTTTGTAAGCTAACTATTTAGGTATGCAAAATTAAGAAGGTCAAGAACATGTTTTTATTTGTAAGTAATAGGAAGTGTAAAGAGGTAATAAAATATGTTGTTAGTTGGATAATAATACTCACATTGAAGAAAGGGTGGTTTTAATTCAGAAGGGGAAAAATATTGAACGGTCCATGTTGAAGGGATGGAGGTGGAGAAGAAAAAGCAAAGAGATATGAAGGTGAAAACAGAGGGGAGTGATGGAAAGTTTGATTTTTGGCAAACCTGAAGATTGATCAGCACCGAGGAGTTGAAAGGAAGCAGCAATTGAGTTGGTGAGAGGAAAAAAGAAAACAGAGAGAAACATTAATTAAAAGTAATAAAGGGTTTAGGGTTTAGACGCAATTAATTAAAAGTCTTAAACATTAATTAAAAACAATTAAGGAAGGGAAATGTGTAATTACAAAAAAGGATAGAAGGAAAAGGAATGGGGGAAACTCATAGAGGGGCTTTTTAGTCATCCGAAAGTGAGAAAAGACCGAAAATAGCCAAAAAGTGGCACCACATTAATCGTCAATTTGGTCTTTTAGTAATTTCAATTTGGCCTCAAGTCATATTAGCCCGCGCTAGCGCTACGAGCATTATTTGTTTTAGAGTGGTACTTGATTAACCGATTGAATAAGGATATTAATATAATCATTTATATAAGATCTATGGACATTCTTTGTTCTAGAGTGGTGCTTGATTAATTGATTGAATTATATAAGGTTGCAGTAAAAATGCAATTTAAATGGATTAGTTTTAATATTGTCTAAGCTAACTTTTTAGACATGCAAAACTAAGAAGGTCAAAGAACATGCTTTTATTTGTAAGTAATAGGAAGTGGAAAGAGGTAATAGAATATGGTGTTAATTGGATAATAATAGACGCATTGAAGAAAGAGTTATTTAATTCAGAAGGAGAAAAACATTGAACGGTCCATGCTGAAGGGGTGGGGAAAAAGTAAAGTGAAGTGAATGTGATAACAGAGGGGAGTAATGAAATGTTTGATTTTTGGCAAACCTGAAGATTGATCGGCACTGAGGAGTTGAAAGGAAGAAGCAGCTGAGTTGGTGGGAGGAAAAAACAAAAGGAGGTAGAAACATTAATTCAAAGCAATTAAGGAAGGGAAATGGGTAATTACAAAAAAGGTAGCAGGAAAAGGAAGGGGGGAAACTCATAGAGGGGCTTTTTAGTCATCCAAAAAGTCAGAAAAGACCAAAAAAAGCCAAAAGGTGCCACCACATTAATCCTCAATTTGGCCTTTAGAACCAAATAACAAAGAAAATGAAGCGAATAAGACCGACATCCCTTAGAGAGTGACATATCATAAATTTAGGCCGTTTCGATGCCAGTAGACTGGCATTGCTTATTTTCTTTATTATCGTTTCTCACCTTCGCAACGACTAGATCTGGCATCCCTTAGAGAGTGACATATTAGAAATTCAGCTCGTTCCAACGCTGAATAAGACCGCACCTTCTAGTCAAACTTTTTAATTTGGCCCGAGATCTGAAATTTTTCTTGGTTTTTTTCCTTGATATTTTTCACTTTGTATTTGTTGGGTGGGGGTTCCAAAGTAATTTCAACCCACACATTCATTCCTCATATTATTTTCCTAGTTGCATAATGCCTTTTATATTATATTATATAATATATAAAAGTATGTATATATATATATATATTAATTAGTTTAATCAACAAATAAATGCAGATTTACCTCAAAACGTTGCGGTGAGAAGTGGAAGCTCACCTCTTCAAGCTATGTCATCCTAAAGTGCTGCTAAATTAAATGGAAAGATCTTATAAACGTCCACGTGGAAATTTTGAGAAACAGAACAGAGTCCAGAGTCTAGGTGAAACTAATTCGCAGAAATGTAGGAAAGAAGAAACCCACCCAAATAGAAATGGAGACGAAAGGAAAACAGAACTAAAATATCAGTAGTATACCCATGAATCGGCCATTATTGCAGATACATTCATAGCACCAACCGACTTAAACAACTCAAAAAATATAACCCAAATAAGAAGATGTATGCAGCGCAAGCGCAGACTGCCCTGCTTGTATTCAAATTAATTTTGGTTTATTAAGGTACTATTTTTCAATGAATTTTAGTTTGAGATGTGAAATTTTTTATTTATTGAGGTAGAAATTTAAAATAAAGTTTGGTACCTGTTGCGCCACAAATCTCTTGATAGAGTTTTCGCGAAAAAACCTTAGTGACAGCATAGCGGCGTGCCAGTCAATTTGCTGAAATTGACAAAGGGAAAATAAATAACAAGATCTGGTGAAAGCGCATCAGATTAAAAGATCTGGGGTGCGCGTAGCAGCAGATTAAAAGATCAGAACGATTGTGGGGACTGGATCAAAGTCACACCGGAGCATTTAAATCATCGATCCACAAGAACAAGACTTCCTAAAAAAGAGCACTTCAAGAGCTGCGGTTGAAAGTTGAGAGAAAATAGCAATTTGATTTTATTGCTGAGAGAGAAACAAGAGTACAGTGTTTTTATGTCCGTAGACAAGATTGAAACAAGGAAAATATGACAAACGAGTAAGAACTCGTGAAGAACAAGAGAAAAAGGCGCGGAGCCAGAGAGAAAATAAGCACGGAGCTTGGTTTTTTACTGGAGCAAGTTTGTGTTGAGAGATGTGTGTTGTGAGAACTGTGTGTTGAGGCTCTGGAATTTATCCCTTTATATAGGGGGCGGCCTGGGCTTGAAATCTGGTGGACTTTACTTGCTGAGGAAGGCGAACTCTTCTGATTGGTCGGAGGAAACTTCCAGGAAGTTGCAGTGAAGTTTCCTTCTCCTTCTGATTGCTGTAGCAGGTGATAGGAGGGTGAGGAGAGGAGAGTGAGGCGTCCCATATAGCATAGTATGCGACTTCCCTCCTCATAGTACCAGGTAGCATGAGGTATTAGGTAGCATCCCCTAGTGTATAGGTGCAGCTACTGTATCAGATGTAGTCTCCGTTGCCTCCAATAAGCTGAAACTACTAAATTGGCTGAGAGGTGACCATGGATCATAAGGGATATCGCCTAGGCCATGAAATTACTCATACTTAGCCATATTTAGGTCTTCTGAGGATGAAAATACCCTTTTCTCAAGAACTATGGCTACACCGGGGTTATAAAGCCACTTTGTCCTTAACTGAAAAGAGTGTAAAAGTTGCAAACGAACTTGGATTGAGCTCAAACTTCACCAATAAGGTTCTTATATCAGCCATAGACTATGGTTAAAATCTTGGCTTGATTTGAGCCTTCCTTCATAGTAAACTAGACTTCTCACCTCAAATTGTCCTTAAATGAAAAACTAGCATAAGTTTTTCATTCTATGTCTGAATGAGCTGAAACTTTGCCAAGGGACTTAGAATATTTCCATAAGATTATGGAAAAAATCCCAAGTAAAACCGTGCTCCCCTTGTTGGTGAACTAGGTTTCTCTCCCTTTCTTTTTTGAAAGGTGGAAGAACAAAGCATTTAATTTACAATATTGGCTCAAGATGTTATCCCCTCTTACATTGTCATTACATCATCCAAAGTAACTTACATGGGCTTTTTCCTTCGGGAGCTTGAACGTTAAAACTTTTTGAACGGAAGTCGTAGAGGACTCTTGGGGCTTCAGTTTGAGCACAAGAACGGCAGGATTCGGATTTGGGATGGAGGAGATATGGGCCCCGCAGTCCAGGCCTCCAAAAAACATTGCAGAAA